ATAGAAATGAAATGTCTAAGCGTTTAGAAAAAAACTATAGAAAAATATCATTTTCATTTTTTGTTGTTGTTCTTTTTGATGATGAATGCTATGCTATTCCTCCTGATTTTTCCATTCTCAACATAGTATACCATATGATTGTCAGATTCAAATTGGCCCAAACCAGTGCATTTCTGCTCCGTAACGCCTATGGTATCTATATTCATATGTTCCATCTAATTTTGACATCTTCCTGTTTTCCTAGATTTACATTTTGTGCATTGCATGTTCCAGTTTTTAGTGGATGTTTTCAGCTGTCTCTCGTCATTTTGGGTTGTACCCCACCAGCAAGTGAAGGTCCTGAAAGTTTTACTATATTTGTGTCATTCTGGTCAACTCTCCTTTGAGGAGACAGCTCTTCTCCAGTCATATTTTGTATAACTTCCAACTTGAGAGGCTAATCTTCTGGCATATATGTGAAAATGTTACGTTATTCATAAGTTTTTTGGTAGCTATATATTACAAAATAACTCACCTCTTCTTCATAGTTTGTTTTAATCTGGAAGCTCAGATGAAAGCTGTCCACCATGGGTGACCCTGCTGGTGTTTAGAATACCAGTGACATAACTTCTAGCATCACAAAAACATGGAACCCACCACAGCATGGCAAACCGACAAATGAGGTCAGGGTCCTGATGTTATTTAGGAAGCCTTTATTTTTATTTACATTCTTCTTTCTCATCCCTGACCATAAACAAATATTATAATATTATCTGTGCTTTTTTGTTATGGTATATATGCTGGGGATATATTTGGTGGTGGTGGTAGTGTGCTGTGGAATTTGTTCTGACTCATAGAGACCCTGTATAGGATTTCTGAGTTGTAAATCTTTATGGGAGCAGAAAGCCTCATCTTTCTCCAGCGGAAGAGCTGATAGTTTCAAACTGCTAACCTTGGGTTAGCAGCCTGACTCGTAACCACTACGCTACCAGAGATCCTTGGGGATGTATATAGTTCTGTTTTATGTCCATACATTTTTATTTATTTTCATGATATGTCATATACCTCACTTTTATCTTAAATTTTGTTTCTTCAGTATTGTCTTGCAAAGTTCCATATTGCTACATGCGTAACTAGTTAGGTGCTCCTAACTGATATCTACCAACTTATGGCATGCTTTTGCTACATTCCAATTACTCATTGTTCCCATGATCGACAAAAAGTTGTACATTTTAAAAATACATATTATTTGATATACCTATGGGTGAATATCTTTGGAAACGTTGATCAAGATAGAGGTCTCTAGGCATTTAATTTGATCAAGTAAAGTCAGATTGTTCTCAAGAATAGCTGCATAAGATAGTACCCATTTGACATAGCTTCAATGGCTAGATGATCCAAACACAACTAGAAGAAGAAAGAAGAGGAAAAAGAGTGTAATCTGCTACAATTTGATGAACTTGACCTATACTTATGGATGTGGTAGTTTAAAAGAGGGAATGAATCTTTACAGCAAAGATCATTCCTACCCCTTCTGTACACGGGGTTGACAGGGTTGGGCAACTTAGACATTGGCTACCCAAAATGGGGGGTGGGTAGGTACTAGTAACAAAGGCATGAAGTGGCTGGCTTACAAGTTTTCAAGAGGGAGCTTAGTTTCAGAGCATACGGGGGAAGGTAGAATTTCTACTGAATGGTTACCAACATGTCTAGATGGGACTGGTGAAAGGAGATGGGGATAAGACTGTTGTTGTTCAATAGTGAATAATTGCTATCAGGACTGATCGTGAATGTTGCAAATGTAAAGGTAGACATTCTGTAACAAAAAGAGAGGAGTGGTTGATCTTGAAGTCCAGGAACATAGGACCCTGGGACCATCAAGGGAGAAGAGTGGACAGCAGAACCCTATCCAGAGAAGCAGCAATGCCAGAGATGGAGGCAGAGACGATGATGGGGAGAGATGGAATGGCTGGGGACTCTAGACTCAAGGAGGAAGAGGGGCTGTGTGCTGGCAGCTGGGGAGCTCCTTTTGGTTGTTTGAATGAATATATATTCCTGAATGCTTCGTTTTATATCCAAAAAACAGAGGGATTGGAAGCAAATGCTGTTAATGATGATGCATGGAGGGGACTGAGATCATTGCAACTAAACAAAATACGATAGAATAAATGTAAAGCTGAGGCTCTCTCATATAAATTATCACTCAATTCACAATAAAAACATATATATATAAAGAACAGCTGCATAAGCAGTTCATAAAAGATTGCATATCCCTAAATCTCTGCTACTAACACCATTGTCAGTTTTCATAGGAGTAAAGTGATACTTTATTATTTCTAGTCTTATTTATCTACTTACAGGTTATGAAATATAATATACTTTCTTTTCCTTTTTTTTGTATCTTTGGTTCATTTTCCTATTCAGATTGTTGCTTTTATATTTTGGTTTTCTTTTCTAAGTAATTTACAGCTATCTTACTACAATTTTTATAAAATCTTTATATCTTTAATATTAACCCCTTAATAATTTCACACATTATTATACCTTTGTATTTTCATGAGATCTTGAATGAACATCTTACCCCCATCATTTTTGTTTTATTTCAAGTTTTCAAAAAGCAATACCAATCATCACCATGCCTGTACTCCTATCAAACATATTGGGCAGCCTAAAGCTACCTTTATAATTGTCAATGGAAGCAACTGGTGAGTTTCAACCACGAAACTTTCAGTTAGCAGCCAAGTTCTTAACCACTGCACCTCAGGGAATCCTGTTTCATGCTTAGTGCATTCAAATATTCTGGTTTGTGAATTTCTTCATAGTAACTTAGTCATTTCATTTTGAGAAATGATAACATTAATTAAATGAAAATCATTCATATTCATATAGTGATTTTCTGAGCCTTCACTGCTCAGAAATCACCAAATGTGTCTTGGACTATTTTTCAGAGACATTTTTCCAGCCTTCACCTTGGCGTCTGGCTTCCATTTTACTGGGATTACTCTTTTGTAGTCTATTCATTGGTGCTGTTGGGTATTGGATTTTCATCATCAAATCCCAGAGTAAGTATCAGAGAAAAACATTAAATTGTGGTTTATCCATGCTTGCAGTGGGATCAGAAGTAAGGATTCCCCATGTATCTCTCTACTCTGTTTTTCTAATCCTGGGCTCCAGAAGCCCATCACCTGGATCACAGGGATCATAATCCTTATCCTCCATGCTAACTGAAATGAATTCCTCAGAAAAGGATCACATAAAACCCTTCTTACTTCATGTGTGGCCCAGAATAAAGGGAAGAATGGTTTTTAGTACCTATAGAGTTCATATAGGGAGTCCGGTTGTAGCACTGTGGTTTAATGTGCTGGATTGCAAGATCAGCGGTTCAAGCTCACTAAATCTCTGTACAAGGTCATTATGAGTCGGAACCCACTCGAAGGCACTTAACAATAACAATAGAGTTCATATAAATTTCTAAAGTAATAGCAAGACTCTTAGAAAAAAGTTTTGATATACTTCAATAGATTTATGAAAGAGGAAATAATATTCATCCTTACTAAGTTTTTAAGGAGCTCTGGTAGTGTAGTGGTTACGAATCGGGCTGTGAACCTTAAGGTCAGCGGTTCGAAACTACCAGCTGCTCCGCGGGAGAAAGATGAGGCTTTCTACTCCCGTAAGGATTTACACCCTCGGAAACCCTGTACAGGGTCGCTATGGGTCGGAACCGACTCGACGGCACTTAACAACAACAACAACAAACTAAGTTTTTACCACCTAGAACTAATTTTTTCCTCCTGGGGGAAGATATTGCCTGTTAAGAATGAAGGCCATTGTTCCACCTCCTTCTTCCAGCTATTGTCTTTCTTCTCCCACCAGATACTAGTACCCATCTTCGTATGCTCTCAAATACCAATCCTTCATGAAGCTGTTCCTTTTCTCTTATCTTTAAAACATTAAAAAAAAAAAAAAATCCCAGATAAAGATGTTCAGTGCTGGGGCATGGGGAAAGATAATCAAAGTAAAGTTCTATGAAAGCTACTGTCCTTAACACCACAAAGATAACTCTACCTGAGTAAGATGTCATGGTTGTTTGTATTATGCATATTCTTATTAAATATATTCTTTCTGCTGCAGGAAAAAAATGGACAGAATTGGGTAAGTGTATTATCATGCTCAGAGCCTTCTGCATGCAATTTTCCTAGGTCCCTTGATATGGTGTGAGCCATCTGTATGCTTTCTTGGCTCCAGAAAGGAAAGAAAGTGTGGGTAGGCAAAAGAGGAACTGGTTTACTCTCTCTATCCATTAACTAATGAATTTATCCTTAGTGATCTGTGAGGATTACGATTGGCATCAGGATCTGAAAATCCCCTAAAATTGTTTTCAAAATTTGCATGTTTGTACATTTTGTGAAGGAAAGAACCATAGAATTAATGAACTCTCTGAATGTGTGTATGAACCCAGAATAGTTAAGAATCTGTGGGATGTCTTCCCAAATTACCCTTGACTTCATGTTTCAAGGTTTAATCCAGGTCCTGAATCAGTCAATATATAGTTGGATTTTTGTTTCAAGAAAACTCCAGGAAAAACTGGGTAATTATGTACTTAAAGGCAGAGCTTTCTGCCCACCTCTGCTCTTGGGTCCTATACTACCATTTGAGTCTCTTAAGTGTGTGTACTTTTGTTTGTTTCAGACAGAAGAAGGACCCAAAAACAAGCAGGTGAGGGAAGCTATTCTTCTCCCTCTCTTTTATTTCCTTTCCAAGTCTCTAGGTTATGGGTTCTTATAACCAGATGCCCATGAGTCTCTATAGAGGCAATCTTGTGATGGGCTTCAGAGTTATGAGTCCCCCCTCCCCCTGAAATTTCCAAAAAGATGTTTGGGGAGCTGCTTTTTAAGAGGCCCCACACTCTTCATCAGATCTTAGGTGGGTCTGTTACAAAAAAAGGGCAACCACACTTGGTCTCTTCTCTCTCCCTGACTCCTTTTTCAATGTGTACACTGACCCTGTTGCTCTATCTGGTTGTTTTCAGAATGGAGAGATGCCCGGAAACACACAGGTACCAACCTCTGAGGAGATGATTCTAGGACAGAACCAAGTGGGCATAGGAGAGAGTATTGACCTGCAGCAGATATGGGGACAATGAGTGACACTGAGGGTCACCTGGCTGCAGATGAGGAATCTGTGATGCTCCATTTCACCCCCAAGGTGTAATTTCTCTGATCTAATTCAGGGTCTTGAGGGCACTAGTGACTGGGTGGAGGTAGAAAGAAAGAAAAAGAAAGGATGTAGAGGGAACTGATGGATCTGATGACAGCTGAATTGAGTCACTCAAGAATGTCAAAGAGTGACTTGTGTGCAAGAACAGTGCTTGGACTGGGGTGATTGATATATAGGAATCTGCAGCCTCACATTTAGGAATCTTCATGGCATTGATGAGACTCAGGATGCACTAGATAAGGGAGGGGCAATATGTGATGGAGATTCTGGCTCTGAAATCTCATTACATTCCACTTTAAGCTAGTCTGTAATGTGTAATAGGTTTAGGTGACCTTTGGTCCAGGAAAGTTTCTCTCCCTAGTAATCCTAGTAACTTATGCTCTCTCTCTTCTCCCTAACCTCCCTCCCCCCACCATGCTCCAGCGATGGTTACTCTGGATCCAGACACAGCTCATCCCCAGCTCATCATTTCTAATCTGAAATCTGTAACTCATAGAGAAGTTCCCCAGGAAGTTCCTTCTTCCAAGAAGAGATTTAAGAAGAGACAGTGTGTGGTGGCTTCTCAGGGCTTTTCTGCAGGGAAGCATTACTGGGAAGTGGATGTGGGATTCAAAAAAAGATGGTGTTTGGGAGTGTGTCAGGATAATGTGGACAGGCAGGACAAAGACGGAATTTTATCTCCTCAGTATGGGTACTGGATCATTGGACAGAGCAAAGCAGATGGGTATTTCACATTCAATCCAAAGAGAATCTGTTTATCTCTAAAGACCAACCCTACACGAGTGGGGATCTTCCTAGATTATGAGGGTGGGGATATTTCCTTCTTCAGTATAAATGACCAATGTCACATTTATACCCTGGAGCATCAGTTTGAAGGCTTATTGAGGCCCTTCATTGAGCCTTGGTCATATTCTGAGGAAAATCAGATGCCCATAGTCATCATTTAGTGTCCTGGTGATCAGAGAGAAAAGCCCCTTCTCAAAGGATCACCACAACCCCAGACAAATAGCCTAGATCCTACCCAAAAATGACCACACCTTTCTCTCCAGTGGTGATGCCATGATTCACGTTCCGTTTTAGACTACTCCAATGCATGCATTGGAAATGGGTTTTGTAAATACCAACTATATCTAGCTAAGTAACATTTTCAGTGCCTCATCTGTTAATCAGTAGTAGTGATTCCCACCTTCTGAGTCACAGCAAAAGTTAAAGAAGAAATGAGTATGTGTCATACTTGCATCATTAATGGCATAGTATTTGCTAATAATTTCTGTATATTAAACTTTTTATCTGTTTATTTTTTTCACATTTATTTTTCTTTAGTCCAAATCACCTTTGGAATAGTTACTGAGCACCTGCTCTGTGGGGCAAATAAATAAAGAAGAGGTAATATTCCAACTCATTCTATAAGGCCAACTTTACCATGTGGCTAAAACTAGATGAAGATATTGCAATAGAATAATATTACCAACAAATATTCCTCAAAAATGCCAAAGTTTTAAATACAATTTTATCAAATTGAATATAAAAATAAATTCAGGGAGGTGGAGCAAGGTGGTGGCATAAACATTCACACACCCAAAACCTCTATAAAATTGTAGAAGGATCCAAGCAAATATTAATCCAATAATCTCAGAACTCTGGACATCAGTTAAAGGGTTAGTGGAGAAAGGGGAACCCCAAATCAAACATACAAATCATGGAAGAGAAGAAGTCACTGACCACTGTTATCCCATCCTCCAAATCAGCTTAACTTAGTCATCTCGAGGTGACAGAAAGTGGTATGGTGAAGGTCAGGTTTTGTAAATAACTATCCCAGATGAAAGCACCATGGGCAGGGACACCTGAGCACATAGAATTAAAAAAGTGTACTGTGGTGCATTGCAAACCTGAGATCACATGGGTCCTGGGAAAAAGCGATGTGCAGAGTGCAATGTAGCTCAGACTGTGAATATCCCAGCCATGGTGAAGGCATTTTGGGCAAGGAAAACTGATCAGATAGACCTAAGAAATGATACTGTTTTACACTTAAGGCCTGAGACCACATAGGCTCCAGGAGGAAACTACATAGAGAGTTGAGTACAGACCAGACTTTGTGAAAAACCAGGATCCAATAAAGACACTATGGAAGACCGTAGATGAATTGATGCATTTGAGTTATGGTATTGGAGAAGAATATTGAAAATACTATGGACAGCTAGAAAAACAAACAAATCTGTCTTGGAAGAAGTACAGCCAAAATGCTCCTTAGAAGCCAGGATGGTGAGACTTTGTCTTTCATACTTTGGACATGTCATCAGAAGGGACTAATATCTGGAGAGGGACTTCATGTTTGGTAAAGTGGAGGGTTAGCGATAAGGAGTAAGACTCTCAGTGAGATGAATTGGCACGTGGCAACAACAGTGAGCTCAAGCGTAACAACAATTGTGAGGATGATGCAGGACCAGGTAGTGTTTTGTTCTGTTGTACAGAGGAGTACTGACTTGATGATACCTAATAACAGCAACAACCAGTAGGTATACATGAACACATCAGTATACATTGGATATCATAGCATATCTAAAGCTTCATGACCCTGAAGGGAGCTCTGTAGTGGGTGCAGTGTAGCCTCAACTTTGTGAACAGCCAGGTCTATGACAAAGAGACACATTGAACACAGCATGACCCAAAACTCTTTAATAGGCAGACCTGGCATAGGACAATGTAGAGAATTCAGCAAGAACCAGAGATTCCACGTGTTCTGGAAAAGAAAAATACAGCGAGCACAGTACAGACCTGAGTACATGAAGAGTTGAGGACACATGGTACTGTACAATGATGCAACTAGTGTGGAAATCTGAAAGATACTTATTTAAAAAGTTGGAAATAAAAATATCATATGACCAACAATCCCAGTACTTGGTATATATTCTAAAGTAATAAGAGCATTGACACAAATATATATAGATATATAGATATAGTTGTTTTATGTGCTGTGGAGTCGGTTCTGACATATAGCGACTCTGTACAGGGTTTCCGAGGCCATAAATCTTTATGGGAGCAGAAAGCCTCATCTTTCTCTAGCGGAACCTTGTGGTTTGCAGCCCAATTCATAACCACCATGCTACCAGAGCTCCATATATATAGTTGTTCTAAGTTGCCATGGAGTTGGTAGTGACCTTAGATTCACCCATCTCATTGGAGATCTTCCTTTTTTTCTCTGACCCTCCACCTGCCAAACATGATATCCTTCACCAGCGACTTGTCTCTCATGACAATATGTCCGAAGGATGAGAGATGAAGTCTGGCCATCCTGGACTCCAAGAAGCACTCTGGCTGCACTTCTTCCAACACAGATCTGTTGGTTCTCTTGGCACCCCATGGCACTTTCAATATTCTCCTCCAACACCACAACTGAAAAGCATCAATTCTTCTATGGTCTTCCT